TTCTCATAATTTTTCCTTGAGAAAAAATGATTTATTCTTGTTAATACATGGATTATTAACTAAAATAAAAATTAAATATTTTTTTTAAAAGCTTTAGTATTTCGTGAGATTGTGTAAAAAAAAAACAATTATCAAAAGCTTAAATAGAATTGAAAAAATATTTTTTTTATTTAATGTTGATGAGAATATTGATTTTTTTAAAAAATATGAATTTAATTTTTATATATTTATTTACAAAAGAATGAATAATATTAAAATAAATCAAAACTGTCAAGTAAATATAATTTTAAATTAATTAGATGAGAATTAAAAAAAACATAAATTAAATTAGTAAATTTTAAGTGACAAAAAACGCTAAAACAAAATAGGACCAAATCATAATACAATTAAAGTTTAAAATTTATAAAAAAAATATAATTTTTTTTTATTTAATGTTGATGAAATATCAATTCTTGAAAAAAATGTGAATTTGATTTTTATATATTTATTTACAAAAGAATGAATAATATTAAAATAAATAAAAAATATTAGTAAATATAATTTTAAATTAATTGAATGAAAATTTTTAAAAATAAAAAATAATAAAAATAATTAACAAAAAAACACTAAAACAAAACAAAACTAATACAATTAAAGTTTAAAATTAAAAAAAAATTATATAAAAAAATTAAGGACCATATAATTTTAAATTAATTGAATAAAAATTTTAAAAGTATGAAAAAATTGAAGATCAAAGTATTAAAAAATATTATAAATAGTAAAAAGAATACTAATTTATGATTATGTAAATAATAAATTATGAGTGTATGGATAATGTTATGAATAGTTTGCTTTAGTTTTTTATATATATATATATAATTATAATAACATTTTAAGTCTGAATAGAGAGAGAGAGAGAGAGTAACGAAGGCAATTAAAAGGTGTCTGTCGCAGACGATTCAAGCAGGCTACGAAGTAGGCTTTTTGGCACACAGCCCATCATAACAAAATCTATATATATATATATATATATACACACACATATATATATGTGAACTTGGATGGGGTTTTTACATGAAGGGTGAGGAACCAAATCGCCATTAAGATTTAGACACCTGTTTTGGTGACAGTTAAATATGAAATCCCGGTATTAAGGGTTAGATTTTGGTGGAACCAAGGAGGTAAAAATGGAATGACCACCACTAGCACATCTGCAGAGATCTATTTATTTAAAGTTAAACATCAATCCCTGGATCTTTGAGGATCTTTTATCAACTAAATCAAGGGAGCTTTATGGCAGAATCCTTGCAGTAATAAGTTATAGTTGGTAACAACCCACTGATTGATTGGCATGGGATGGATGGAAACAAATCGTCCGAGTAAGAAATTATTTGGGACAAACCATTTCCTTTCTCATATTAGAATAGTACTCCATATGCAAGTTTCGTCACGTGGGCCTCAAAGGGTCAAATGGAGTTCAACCCAAACCTTCAAAGTTCAACCTTCGCTTTTAGCTTCATTAGACTTTCTTTTGATTTTTTTTTTTAAAAAATAGTTGAATATGTACTTTTATAATAGTTTAAATTTTTAATTTTATATATTATGTTCTTTTAAATTTTTTATTTGTCATTCCATTTGATTCTGATCATAAACAATATATATATATATATATATATTTTATCAAAATGCCTTTCATTAAAATTGAGAGAGAGAGAAAGAGGAAATCAACAATTAAATTCATATACATGTATATTTTATTTTTAAAATTTTTAGATTTTATTTATTTATTTATTGTATTTCAGTTAAAAAATTATTATGGCCAAAAAAATAATCAAATGACAAATTAAAGACTCAAATATTATTTAAAAATATAATAGATATAATTAAAAACGTAAAGACAAATTAAAAATTTAAATTATTATATAAGAATAAATTGAATTATTTTTTATTTTATTTTTTTGTAAATTTGAATTTGTCCATTTGATATATCTAAATTTTACTGTTAATCCTGAATTTAATAATTTGAATTAGATGAAAGAAAATATTTTAAAATATAAAGAGTTAAGTTGTTGTCATTTTTACTGTCACAATGTGTCAGTCTATTTTCATCCAATTATTATTATTTTTTGAGGTTGTTTTTACTGTCTTTTGTATTTTTCATCTGCCGTCAGTTTTTTCATGCATTTTGATTAATTTTAAGCGTGTACCTCGTCCACCCAGCATCGAAGGTCGTCCAACCCACGACCAGTCGATGAGGGAGGTTCAAGTTTATCACAACAAAAGCTAACGAATGCCGTTATGGCACCTGTTAAGCATTATTATTATTATTATTTTAATCCTTTAGGATATTTCGGTCTAAAGATTTAGACTAATAATTTTTTTAGTCTGCATACATACAGAACATCTATTTAAAAAGTTTTTTTACATACACGATAACTAGAATTTAAAATTATTTATTTAAAATATTAAAATCTTTTTCACATAAATCAACACTTTGAATCCTGTTAAGCATTATATAATGCATTTATTGTAATTCATTTAATGATGGATTGTGATAAAAAAAAGATAAAAATAAAATACTCTAATGAAAATGAATGTTATTGATTATAAATAGTAAATAATTATTATTTTATTATGATAACATTTTTAAGTGCTGATGATAAATTATATAACTAAAAAAAAGTGAATATTAATTTGTAGTATTAAATGATTCTTAATAAATGTCCTAGCCAAAATAATGTTTATTCAATGATTAATCCCTCTTATTTCAAAACCTAATTATTTAGTTTTTATATTTTTAAATTTTTTTATAACTTAATTTTTTTTCATTCTTTTTCAATTTTTTTTTCAAAAATAACAGAAGAAAAAATAAGTAAAAATTATAAAAGGATTGATGAGAAAATTTATACATTTTCTAATATAACAATATATTTTTTTCAATAAAAAAAAACTTTTGTATCACAAAAAATCTAATAAACTTGTCATTTCATCTAAATGGAGAAAAAAAAACCGTTGAAATAGATATAAATAAATCTATAGATATGATCTAATTACCCAAATCAGATTATATTTATTTGATATTGTCAATATGAAGATAAATGCATTAATAAAAAATGACACAATAAAGAAAGCAAAAAGATTAATTGAAATTAACCCTATATCTTTCTATTTTTATATTAATATTAAATATATTTTTTTTATCGTTAATGTTGAATATTTTTATAAAAGTATGTCTCAACTAAACCAACATTTTTTTCTACGTCCTGTCTCTATTGCTCAGCCATTGCTCAACCAAGTTTGAGCAAAATAGTAAAGCAAGTACAAGTATTATGAAAAAACTAAATAATTAACTCTGCAATCAACTGTTAGAACCAATAATGATATTTTCTAAAAATAATTAATATTGTATTAAGTGTAGCCAACAATGATAAAAAAAACATTAAATAATAAGTTTTTTAAATAGAGAAAATTAATTAACTTGTTTTTAAAAAAAAACATAGAGAGACTAATTTATAATTTACTCTAATTTTTGCCATATATATATATAAACACGCTCATGTTGGAGTTTCTAAGTCAATAATATTGTTTTTTCTTTTTCTGTGAGAAATTTTATAGTGTTTAATGAATAACTATTGTACAATAGTTATTTAAAGAATTTATTCAATTTATTTTTAAAGAGAGAGATAGATACATAAAAAAAAAAATCACGTTTGAACCTATCAAAAGTAATAAGAAAACTTTTATATTGATTCAATTTATTTTTTTTATTTTCTCTTTTTTTTTCTTATTATGTCTATCTTTTTCTATAAGTAATTTACTCCTTGAAATTTATAAAAAATTTCTTTTTCTACTTCCGGGATCGATAATAATGGCAAATGTATATATATATATGTATATATATATATATATAAACCTTTGCCATTTCTGTATTAAAGGCAAACAAAAGAGTGATTGACGACCTTTTTCTTTGGTATGAAAGGGAAAGAACAATAGTAGCTAAAAAGTTGGGACTTTTTCGATATTGCTATAAGGTTATTTTTTATATTATGAAAATTTGGCGTTTGAACGACTAAAACTTAAATCAATTCCTATAATCAAGACATGAAAACTTATATCTAAGCAAAAACTAACTCTTGCCCTTAAGATTAGAGCATATGTTAGAAAAAACCCTTCCCTTCATTTATTAATAATACATCATGCCCTTTGAATTTCTTTTTCTTCTTCTCCATTTAGTCTTGTATTTGTTCGGTTGGCAGGTGAATTTTGATTTCTTTTTTATTTAATTTCTGGCAACCCACATGCACAAATCTCTATCGGATTAATGAAAATGTTAAAAGTATCCATTTAATTTGTGTTGTAAAATTTTTCATTCAAATAGTTATTGCTTTGCTTTTCTGATTGCATAACTGCAGGTCTGCTGTCCAGCAGTAAATCCTCTTTCGACCTCATTCATTGTCCCATTCATAGATCTTGAAATATCATATCTCTCTCATTTCCCAATCCCTCTGTGTTTTTTTTTTCATGTCAGCAAAAGACTTATTCAAATCCTCCATAATGGAGTACTGGAAGGGAGTGAAAAGGGTCCAACAAAACCTCCTGTAAGTCACTCAAGTCTCCAACCCCTCGTACCCCTAATTGGACCCATCACTGATCTTCTCCAACTCAAAACTCACAACCCTTTTTGTTTTTTGCCCTTTCTACCTTGCTGTTATCCTTGTACTTCATATATATCTTGGCCAACCAATCCCTCCACATCTCAAAACCCTTCCTTTCCCTATCCCTTTCCCTTTTTGTGCTTTTACTATTTCTTTATTCCCCTCTCCCTCCACAAATTTCCCTGTTTCTGCAGTAAGCATCTCAAAATCCCAAGGCCCATCAGTCCTATAAATTAAAGCAAGAAAGACCCTTTTACAAAACCTCCTCAAAAGAAAATTAAAAGAAAGACAAACACCTCTTTCCCTCTCCCCTCTCAAAAAGCTAAACAGCACCTCTATCCATAGCTTACGAAAAAGAACAGCAGAATGAAGGAATACTGGGGCTCTTTGGCCTCAATACTTGGTGTGTTGGCTTTTTGTCAAAGTCTTCTTCAAGTATTATTCCCACCAGAACTCCGGTTTGCAACTCTGAAGCTCTTCAACCGGATCTTTAACGTGTTCACTTCTTATTGCTACTTTGATATCACAGAAATTGATGGAGTCAACACCAACGAGCTCTACAACGCAGTCCAGCTCTATCTAAGCTCCTCTGTCTCCATCTCCGGTAGCCGTTTGAGCCTTACTCGTGCTCTGAATTCAAGTGCCATAACTTTTGGCCTAACAAGCAATGACACTCTCTTTGACACCTTCAATGGTGTTACTGTCCTTTGGGAACATATTGTGACTCAAAGACAAGCGCAGACATTTTCCTGGCGTCCATTGCCTGACGAGAAGAGGGGTTTCACTCTACGTATCAAGAAAAAGGACAAGTCTTTGATTCTTGATTCTTATCTTGATTACATTATGGAGAAAGCCAATGAAATAAGGAGGAAAAACGAGGACAGGCTTTTGTATACTAATTCAAGAGGGGGTCTTTGGATTCAAGAGGGCATCCTTGGGAGTCAGTGCCATTCAAGCATCCAAGTACTTTTGAAACTCTGGCTATGGACCCTGTCAAGAAATCTGAGATCATGGAAGATTTGAAGGATTTTGCAAATGGTCAATCTTTTTATCTAAAGACAGGAAGAGCTTGGAAGAGAGGTTATTTGCTTTATGGACCTCCTGGTACTGGTAAATCCAGCATGATTGCTGCTATGGCTAACTATCTTGGTTATGATATCTATGATCTTGAATTGACCGAGGTACATAATAACTCTGAACTTAGAAAACTTTTGATGAAAACAAGCTCAAAATCTATAATTGTTATTGAGGATATTGATTGTTCTATTCATTTGAGTAATAGGAAGAAGGGTAGTACTAATAATAGTAGTTCTATTGGGAGGAGTTACTGTGACCCAGAAATGCGATCTGGGCCTGGTGTTGGTACTGGTGATGAAGGAGGGAATTCAATAACTTTATCTGGGTTATTGAATTTTACTGATGGGTTATGGTCTTGTTGTGGAAGTGAGAGGATTTTTGTGTTCACCACAAACCACATTGACAAACTTGATCCTGCATTGTTAAGGAGTGGTAGAATGGACATGCATGTTTTCATGAGTTACTGTTCATTTCCTTCACTGAAGATTTTGTTGAAGAATTATTTGAGTTTTGAAGAAGGTGATTTGGATGGAGAGATTCTGAAGAAATTGGAAGAGGTTATTGATAAGGCAGAGATGACTCCTGCTGATATAAGTGAGTTATTGATCAAGAACAGGAGAAATAAGGACAAAGCAGTGATTGAATTGTTGGAGACATTGAAGGAAAAGGCAGAGAGGAAATTGAAGAGTGGAGAATGTGTCGGGGACAAGAATTTGAATGATGTGGAAGAGGAAGAGCAAGAGAAGAGAGCTTTGGAGAGTCCTAAAGAAGGCTGTAACTTTGAGGACAGCATCGAGAAACAAGAGGATGATGAAGAGAAGAAGATCAAATGATATAGAAATCAAGTACTTTTGTTTTTTTTGCTTTTGTTGTTGTTGTTGTTGCAGGAAGGTAAAGAAAGATGAAAAGGATATCGATTGGTCTTAAACTATTATTATATCTCCAAATTTTGTTGGTGCATAAGCATAAGCATAAGCATGGTGGTGGGCTGCTGCGAAGAGTGGAAGTGAATCTGCACTGGATAATATTAGGTCTCCAATTTTTTCCAATGTTTAATATTATTATCTATTTTAATGTTAATTAAATAATGAAGGTAGTATCATATGATCAAAAGATAAGCTTATTTGCATGTGGTGTGGTTGGCTTGGCCATGTGGGATCTTCTTATATGTTTACTTTAATTTTAAGGTCCAGAATGACAACATGCATTTCTCCTTCTCATCATCCTCTGCAACTCCCCTGCACACAATTATTCCTTTATTTTTATTTTTATTTTTTGGTTTTTTGGTTTGCGAGCACAAACTGGCCTCGTAATGGCCAGAGTTGTCAATTGGTAGTGCAAGGAATTGATGCATAAGAAATGAGATGGGAAAGGCGAGAAAGCAAAGCATGATGGCTCTGGGAAAGGTGAGAAAGTAAAGCATGATGGCTCGGAAATGAAAAAACTTCTCCCGACAAGGTGTTGGGTAGCAGATCTTGACAAATTGTCATGTAAAACCCAATTTGTCGTTGTTTTGGCAAGACAAGAATAAAGGTTCTTTGTCAATTCTTCTGAAGTCATCTTTCTTGAAATTACGGAAAGATGGGGTGTAGTTTCCTTCGTTATTTTTGCAATGGATCAATTCTATTCATTTCATTTGGTCAAAATGGACCAATCTATCGTTTGAGTATAAGATAATTTGAATAATTCCACGTTATATTGTAATAAACTAGTGCATAATCAGATGGTCCTTTTCAATTCTTCTTTATGTCAAACTAATGGATTTTTTTTGTCTTCACAGTACCAAAAACTTGATGCATGAGTTTTATGTTTTACAGTAATTTTTTAACTAATTTAACAATGGGAAAACAACAAGCTAGCAACCACCTTGGACGTAATCAGAAAAAGTTTTCACAACCTTCTCGAGTTTTTTTCTTAAAATTTGTTGAAGTCTATACTTTGCCTTGTCATTTTCTAATCATGTTAAAAGTATGTCATAATAATAATTCTAATCTCTAAGTGCCATGGTTTTTGGATAGGATTGAAAGGGCACTTTAGGAAAACAAAGATGGAAAGTGCAAACAACTGAACAAACTCAAGATTTCATGTTGGGGAAAAAGAAGGATTGAGGAGCTAAAGTAACTCTCAAAAGTCTACTTTTACAATGAGAGAGTTGGACAATTTTTTTTTTTGGGTTTGTTTGATTTTGATAGCGAGAAGGAACGGGGTTTGGTTGTCAAGCCTATGCATAGATCTTGGCCTACGTAGTGACAACTGACAAGTGAAAATTTGCTCTCCACAAATTAAAATACTAATTATTTTCCACGGAAAACATGCCTTTGTGTGAAGGCAAAAGGAGGGATCATAGCTGGCACGGCAAACCCAGTTGTACATTTTCTTTCTCAAAAGAGAATGCCACTTTATTAGATTAGCCTGCAATGTACTAACTACCAACACATTTTCATGTAAAAATTCCTTTCACAAGGTTGTGTTGTTGAGTTGGATTCACAAATAAGACAACAAGAGCAATGATAAGGACAACCTTGCGTTTTCAGGCATTTATGAGCCAGCACCGCTTTATAACACGGTAATATGATGAGTCTCACATGAAGTAGAGAAAGACTCAGATTTGCAATGTTATAATTACACTTGCTAATAAGTAATGTGAGATTTAGTTAAGAAAATTGGTGTAGGTGAAAGTAATGGATCGAGAGGCGGATCAATCATGCAACCCTGTACTTACGATTTTGGGACTTCCTTGTTGGATATTTGCCTACAAAATTTGTGGCCCTGAGCATGTAGCGGAAGGAATATGGTTATGTGACAGTTCTTCAGGAAACAAGGGGGATGCATTTACGAATGTGGACCAACGATAGCTTGGAGTTTGGATTTGTATATCTCCTCAATGTTGATTCTTCGACGATTTTGAAGGTCTAGCCTCTTGGCATTTTGTGACCCTCTGTGCCTTTAGACTAGAAATCATTTAATGTTGAATCAAAATGTTACTGTTCTTCACCTCAATTATAACATGCATACCCAAAAAAAAGGGGAGAGAGTGAAGCAGGTGTATATTTGGGATAGCTCAGCTCCAATCCAAAGCACATCAGTCATCGCAATCCATGCATGCTAAGCAACAAATTAATAGTTTCGTCTTTATATTATATTCCATTTTCATTGGCTAAAAAATACAGCAAATTTTATTCTTATGGTTTCCCATTGTAGCATTTATGTGTCCCACTGCGAAAGTAAAATTGACTAATACGGTTGGCATTCTCTACCAAACAATTGAAGTCTAATATTTGTGCCTAATTGCCTTTCTGCAATAACCAAGAATAAGTTCAACGGTGCTGGTTTGTAGACAAATTTTTTTTCAAGTTAAAGAGGATCTTAGACCAGTTATTATTTTATGGGAAAAAGTTCTCTTGCGATTTGGTATAAGTTGAAGGTATGCTACAAATTTTAATTTCGATATAAATATAATAAGATCTTTTTAGATTTCTTTATATATATATATATATATATACACAAAAAACACAATACTTCTTATGGAATACATAATCATTCTATATCTTTACATTTATTTTTACTTAAAAAAAGTTAATTGCATAACAAATGGTCAAAATTAAATGGGAATATATCCGATGCTTGCTACCTAGATTACCCCTCCAACCATTGAAACATTGTACAACAGAATCAGGCAAGCATTACATATGTACATACATGCAGCAATGGAATTCATAAAACACTTCGCTAGAGAATTCATGGGTTGGAATATTTAAATTTCCGGTGATTTTATATGGTAAAATGTCGTTGTGTATAATTAAACTGAAATGATCTTTCTTTTGGCACACCAAAATACACTAAAGTGCTGTTTGGTAATCAGAAATAAAATAATGAGAATAAAAATGCGGGAATCGGAATCAAAATTAAGAAATCGAAATGATATTTGTATTCCAATACTGTGTTTGAAATACTAATAAGGAATCGGAATGCAATTTAAATTTTTTAATAACTGATTTTGTATATAAATATAAATAATGATTAAAAATAATTTTATTAAACTATAATAGTTATAAAAATAATAAAGGTGATGGTAGTGACTGTGTTGGTGGCAAAAATAGTTAATAGATAATAAATAAATAAAATATATTATTATTTTGAAAAAAAATTCATTCTCATTTCTTGTTTTTTATTCCCACATTTTACGTGGGAATAAAGTTGTGAGTAAATTTTCATTTTCATTCTCACTCTTCATTCTCATTCTCACTTCATTTCTTTTAACCAAACGAGTTATAATGTGGGAATAAAACTTTCATTCTCATTCCCACTACTCTATTGATGATTACCAAACAGACACTTAAGAGTTTTTTTTTTTTTTCTTTTAGGTTCAGCAATAAGCATGTCTTCGAATCAATTTTTACACATCTCGAAAATAATCTCTTATTAAACATGATTAAGGGATACACTCTAATGCACGATTTTGGGTATTTTAAAAATAAATTCTTAAGAAGTGCTAGATACGAGGATCAAACTCTAAACCTAATTTATAAATAAAAACTTATTTATCAACGAATTATCATCTTGTAATTAAAGGGATCTTTCTTTAATTTCATTCTAAATAAATAATGAATCGGCCGGGGTCATTCTTTTTCTGCATATATTTCGAAGTTTGAAACTAAAATATCATTTGCTACATGAGATTATTAGACCAACAAAGCATAATATAAAATCTTACTTATAGATGGCTTTTAATTATTTATTTTTATGCATCAATTCTTTTTTGGCTCGCCACTCTTATAGTATAATCTTAACATATTCAATCATATCCACTCTCATTTACTCGGAAAACTAGTCTTTAATAATATCTTAATTACAGTAAAAAGAAGAAATGCCATTTAGATTAAATTGTATATTTTCTGAATTATATTTGTAGAAAGCATATCTTTTATACGGACAGAACATATTGAATATAGCATTTTGTTACAGTCTATATTTAAAAAAAAAAAAAAAATCATCAGCCACAGATAAAATAGATGAGCATCAGATTCTAATGCATGCAGGAGAGTACGGGAGTTAATTAGAAATGGCAATAACGATAATTTCATTGACTGGATGGAGCTATCAACCATCAAAAGATTATGGTAGAATCTTAGACCAGAAGGGAAGGTGTATAATCAACAAGAGAATGCGCAAATGACCAAAAATTTTGTGTCCAAGCTGTCAAAAGATTGGATTCTTTTAGGCCAATACGTTAACCAAGGACCCAAGCTTTTAGCATATGCTATGTTTCTCCAATTATGGCCATATCTTTGGGCACCTACGACCTTCCCTTTGTTCCCTTCAAGTTCTAAAGGTCCCAAGAGGTGGGAACCGTATTTTCTTCCCACCAAGCAAAAGTATCAAGGTATAATCAAAGAACAATTTTGGCTCTTAATTTCTTGATGAAATTGAACACACGACAACCACACGCTTTCTTTTCCAATAATAATGGTAATAAAAAATTCAATTGCCCGGTATCAAGCTCGTTCGAAGATAATGATGGTTTGAATATTTGTGCAGTTGAGATTTCAAATTAATTAGCATATTCTGAAGAAGTCTATGGTGACATGGATGTAATAAAGTTCAAGAATTATTCAATACTTTGATGCATATATACAATTCTTTAATTCACACAAGTTATTGAGCTCAATGGATTGCGTGCTCTATAACTGGCTGTAGTTTTTGGTTTTAACGTTTGACTAGAATATTGTTAGAACTTAGAAGCAGCCTTTGCTGAAACGCTGAAATTTAGATGGTAGAATTGAAGGTCAACGAAAAGATTGCACCCCCTCTAAGATCTATGTAGATAAACATGGGAGATATCAACCCAATTGATGGACACAAGTCAAAATACCAACCAAATCGATAAGGCATGGAGATTTGTTTGCCTCGTCCTCGTATTCATATTATCGCTTTTGCAGCTATCTCATCTCATGCTTTCTGATTAAGGTTTTCGTAACAAAGAAAATAACTACAATAAGAATGGTCAAGGATTTGAAAAGAAAAACGAGAAAAAGAAACTTTTGTACATTCCAGAAAATATCAATCACAATTATGATAAGTGAGTATGGGCTGAATGAGTTTTATGATCACCTTCAAGCATCTAATGCCATTACCCAAACCATTACAATTGGGCTTCTTTAGTGCCAATGGACATTCTAAAAAGATATGTCATCCGGCCCATCATAACATACCTTGTCCAAGCAAGGGCATGAATCCATGAAGAGTGGGCTTAAAGTTCAATTGAAGAGGCTTACCTGAACTATGTTGGACTGGTTTTGAGAGCAGCAGAACAACAGAACAGGAAGGTGATTTGACGCTCCTTCCCCATCTTATAACCACACTCGCATTATTTTTATTTTGACAAAAACACCCCCAATCCCATCTTATAATCACATTCCCACTATCCTTTTGACAAAAACACCCCCACTTTATGTGTAATAAATAATTACACTCCCACACATTTGGTTTTCTCTTTCTGTTGATCCTTAATCCCCATCAGCCACATTCCCTGCTTTCTTTCACTTTCTTTCTTTCATCATCGTCAATAATCTGTCTGTTTGTTCAATGGAAAGCAATAATTAAATTCAATTCATGCAATTAACTCAAAGGTCATCACTTATTACTCAATATATCCAAAAAAAAAAAAATTGTTTTCTTTTAATTTTTTACACAAATTAAGAAGATTTCAGCATCTTTTGCTTATATTTTTCAAAAAATATTCTTTTTAAATTTAATTTATTTTGATTTTTTATTTACGAAATAATAAATAAATAATATAGAATAATTGATGAGAAAAAATGATTTTTTTTAAAAAAATAAAATAGTATTAAATAAAGTATAGTCAACACTAGTTAAAAAAATAATTATTTATTTTTTAAATAAGATAATTTATTTATTTATTTCTTAAAAATAAAGGGATTGATTTATAATTTACTCAATCGTGAGTGCGTAAACATTACTCATCAACTATGACTAATGAGATTTCGCCATGTGTCCCACTTCAGCTATCAAAATCGAAAACTAACGGCGAACTGGAGAGCAAATTGATGGAGGAATTAACGGAGAGGAAAAAGGCCAAATGTGTTGGGAGTGTGATTATTACCATGAAGTGGGGGTGTTTGTCATTTGTCATTTGTTGAAAAAAAAAAAAAAAGGGACAAATAGTCCCAAATACAACGCCACGGCTAAGAAGTAAGCAACGTTACACAGAACTGGCAGCCGCAGCAACACCACCACCACACTGACTGGTACGAAGCTAATACTTACGATGGTTTATTTTCTTGAAGCATTTTTTTCACCTCATTGAATTCGGATTTATCCCAAATAGGATTTAGGGTTGGATTGCTTATTTATTTGTATCATAGGTATTTGTAAATTCCGTTTCTCAAAGTTTGAGTCCTTTTATACTTGTTGTGTGTGTATATATATATATATTTGTCAAGTCCTTCATTTTAGAGTTTGCTGCATCAATTTTGTATATTTATGCACTGAATTCTTGTTTTACAAGTCATGATGATGAGGAGTGAATAAAATGTATGCAATTATTTGTTGTTTATTTCATTATTTGCAGTGTATGCTTGAGTAAGATGTCTACCTATATTTTGAAATAATCTTTCCACAAAGTTACTTAAAAGATATAGGGTTTTTGGATTATTTTAGCAGTAGAAATTTGTTGTGCTTCACTTTTTACGAAATCCACATTGAAAATCATCTGTGTGTTTTACTTTCTTAGATTTTGAGTTGTTGAATTCTAAAATCACTAGTAAATTGTCAGCACAATGTTGCGGGCTGAGAAATCTTATAATCTACAAGTTAGTTTTTTGTATCCTTTTAAATTTCCTTTCCCTTCTTCTTTCATCTCCTGTACTATTTTTTTTTTTTTACCTCTATATAGTGCACAAGTGTATTTTATGTGCTCCTTGTCTTGAATAACTTTCGATCTGTTTTAATTTTCTTGATGTAGAAAAGTGAATATATGAAAAAACTGCATTCCAGAAATCATAAGTGTTAAATGTAATCAATGTTAATACTGCATAATAAGACAAATAAATAAATATTATGATGGCAATGTCTATGCTGCTGGTAAGTAATTGAAGTCATTGATTTTGCAATTAAATTGAATATTTACTTATCATCTTAAAGTTCTGTGCTCGTCCTTGTTCATGAATCAACATTTTGCATATGTTGCAATGATTCAATGAGAGTTAGTCTTCCTTGACAATTGGAACAGCACAAGTTAAAATTACTTAATAGATATTAATTTATAGTATTCACTCATTTGGTTTCTTCTAATATAGAAGCTTATACTAATTGTGGGTGCTAATATTTTGTTACACCATTTTCTTCATGTAATTATTCAGAAGTTCCTCTGCTGATTATATTTAGAGGGAGGGAGAGAGAAAATGAGCGAAGTGCCAAGAAGGGAGAGTCCATGGGGGATGCCAGAAGGAGACACTCGCCAACCAAAGGCTCATCGATGCAATGATCGAGCTGAGGATGTTGTCCAGGTCCTTGTCTAATGTTTTTTTTTTTTTTTTTGTTTAACTGCAATGATGAGTTTTTGGTTTAAAGGTTTAATTATTTATATTATTTCGTTGGATTGTTTTTTTTTCTTGGAAAATTTAAAACAGGGTTGTGGAAGAGAAAATATAATTGTTGGAAATTAACAATTTTAAGATTGTAATGTGCTATTTTCCTGTTATATTCTGCCAATTGACAAATTATTATCACATCCTCTTTTGTTGATAATCAAAAGCACTGCCGCTTGCTAACTTAATATGCTAACAAAGAAAGACAAATTAACAAACAATTAACATGAGAATGTTAACAGAAGAAAAAAAAAAAAAAGGGGTTAACTGACCAACGACTTAGGATAATAGAGTCTTAGATTTAGGTTATCTAGAGAGTTCTCAGAGTCTGTTGAAATTAACGATGTAGGTCACAAGCAGTAAACATGATTGAAATTGACCTGCTAAAGACTGCCATGGGATGCCTAGACTACCATCTATCTGAAGCAATTGAATGAATCATCCTCTGAATTCAACTTCAAGAATGACTTGTCAAAAAACCTCTTCCTCCAAGAATCAAGATCAAGATCAAGATCAGTTTTAAACGCCCACCATGCAGTTTTAAACTGGTTCTGAAAATGATATCATAAACTACAAGTAAAATACATCATAAAATCTGGAAACGTCTGCCTTTTCATTAATTGAATAAAATAATGTTTCATTTATACTGACTCCTAGAGGATTATGATGGACTTGTACCAGTTTCTGTATATGGAAACAATTTGGTAGCCTATTTTCTCTTCAGCCATGAACATGATATTTTGCAATGTTGTTGTACTATGTCATAGGAGTTGGAGCAAACTCCTTAATCTGATTAGTCGTTAGTGTGAACAAAAGTTGTTGGTTGCCTTTTCATGATATGTTCTGACTTCTGAATAAATTATTACATTGTCCTGGTTGTGCAGGCTTGTTTTGAGGGAAACCCATTTAAGACAGTTCCAGGACCTTTCAAGCTCTTTTGGCAATGCATGCGCTCTAAACCTGGGTATTTGGAGTATCCTTTATACTTTCAACTACATTCCATAACTTCTCTTGATTGCCCCATCGAGAACTTGATTGATTATTTTTTTATAAGAAACACTGGCAATGTATTTTTTAGTTGCTTTATCTGTCTTCTCTATAGCATTAATTAGTAATAAGGGCATGTGACAAGGTGTGTGGTTATGCAGGGAGGAACCAACAGAGCCTTACACCTATTTGCAAATTGATCCCCCAAGAAGAGAGGTGCAGCTTGAGTAAAAACAGTTTCTTTCTCTGCATTCCTGAGATTTCCATGCGTTCCAGTCTTATGCTCTCTAGGCTTCCAGCTTTTGGTTATCTTGTCATGGGTAAAGTGTAACAGCTATTCACACCTGAAGTGGCATTGGTAGTCCGGCCTTTTGCTTTGCAATAATGATTTGGTTCATTGAGTATAGAAGGTATATTCATGTAGTTCCTTGAGTTTGAGTTTACGCCTCAGCAACATTTGGAATCATAGAACATTATCAAAGTTGTAAAAAGCTTCGTCTCAACTTTGTAGACGTTGCCCAATATGTAGTTTTATTTAGTGATTCATGTCAGTTATTATCATCTCCTAACAAATCCAAAGCATCTAACAATGGTTTCAAAGTGGGATGAACAATGTTGTCTATGATTTTATGCCGTTATCATTAGTGGTGTTGTCACCCATTCATATCGCACTTTATATCCCTGTTGAGTGAAGTGCTGTTTTAAGTTTTTTAAGAAGGAAACTGCGAGCATTCATAGGGATATAAAGGCTAGGAATATAATGCTGGAAACTTCAATGCAATATTGGGTGGTTTTGGACTGGCAAAGGCTAGTGGCACGAGATAAGAGTCCTGTTTCTAGTGATAATCTGTTAAAATCGCAGTCTTTTCTGTACTGGGAAGAAAGAAAACTTGCATACCTCAAGTCCTGACCCACGTTCACTCTTCCTTCCTCTCTTTTCTTTCCTCTCTTTTCTTTCCTCCCAAGAGGAAACATCCAAACAAGGGGTTAAGCAAAAACTTTCCTTGAGTCAATTCAGACTCTATAAGCCCAGGTGTTGATCTTTTGTTTGTGGGTTACACAAGTAGTACCAACCGAAGGATTAGGGACGAACCCAGGATGTGACATTTGGGAGGGGGATTTTGAAAAAATTTAAGACCTTAAGGAGGTCGTGGCTACCCCTGCCGCCTTTCAATTCGTCCATAATCATAATTTACATCAAATCAGGTGTGCTTAAAAAGAATTTCAAACATTAAAGGGAAAAAAAAGAAGAAGCAGAAGAAAAAGAACACCCCGTATAGACCAGAAAATAAAAATAGAAAAGCACAAAATTAATATTTTCATCTACCAAATATGAAGGAATTTGTCATTTGATTATTAGAGTCAGCAAAATGATTGTATAAATTGGGGACGTGAAATTGAATATGCACAACGCAATAATTTCCTTCGTATTTAGATACTGGTTAATTACCTCGCTGATGCCTGATGATGATTAATGCACCGGTTACAAGGACAACCTTGCCTGTCGTTATGGCCAATATTAGCAAATGTTAACTTATAAGGGCTGAATTGTAATATTGTTTAATCTGCAGAGACTATAGTATAGTTTACCCTAATAAATGAACCCTGCAACACAAAATCTCTCTTAGACCCCTCCGTTCCACACAACTCTCTCTCGTTCAGTCTCAGCTCCTGCTTCTTCTTGAGTTCATCAATGGATAACAAAAATAAGGTAGACCCATGTCTTTTCTTACACTTTAGTGTCCTTTTCATTTTTCTTTTGAATAATTTGATGTGTAGTGACTTTACTGTTTCTTCCTTTTTAAACTGACTACTATACTGCCTCTCAGTATAGCTCAGTGTTCAAAGTGAGTGGTCTTGAGTAGGTCTATTTTTATGTCTTAAAGTTATTTATAACAGCTTTTCTAACAAACTTTATGCGATCATCTTGTTATGTAAAAAGGGTTTAATTCGTCATATATGACTGATATCCAGCAGGTATATATGTATATTTATCAGTGCTGTAATGTGTTTTTATTTTTTTTATCTTTTTTCTTTTCTTATCCTGAGGTTTCTGTGTTTTTTTTTTTTTTTTGGTTTTTGGTTATGGATTTTGCACCTCATTAAATAAAGCACATAATTTCAACTGTGATGGTGGGGGTTCCTAAAGAAACATTGTCAAGGAAACTGATTTTTTCAAGAGCTTGTACTTGTATTCTTTATTTTGAGATACATGCATAACCGGTCAAATTGAATTTGTTTCCAAGATTATCCATATTATATGATTGAATTAGTTAACATTTGCTATCGCTTTGTGTTCTTTTCTTGATTTGATTTCTTTATCTTTCCCAAGAAAAAAAAAAGGAAAATTCTTATTCTCTGTCACCTGTTTCCATTGCAGCCATATTCATCTAATAAGATCATCGAGACAAGTGATGGGTTTGCAATAGTTCTTGAACTCTCTGAAAATGACCCCTTTTTTGATAAAAAGAAGGTAAGAAATAAGACAAATGGTGCTATTATTTTGAATACTATTTGGTGTATTTTTGTTTGTATTGTTTTAAGTTATCTTTGGAATGAGATACCTCCAGAACTAAAGATGAAAATTTATGTTAAAAATATATATATATATAATATGAAAAAATTGGCGCCCATTGCAACTGGAGTATAATAGACGGCTGTTGCTTGAATCCCTTCTTTATTATTATTATTTTTTTAAGAAGAAAAAGACTTGTATCATCTAATTTTTACTTGGAGAAGGTGACCAGCATACAAATTTTATAGTGCCTCTGGTGCATGCTGCCTTCTGATGTCAGTTAGTGTTGTTGTTGATATCAATTTTCCATCAAGTGAGGGTTTTGATTGAGATGTTGAATGTTTTTACCTTTGTTCTGATAATGTGTCTCGCTGTTTGACAGAATTTACTACATAAGAAGGGTTTTGATATCAGGGAACAAGTGCAGCTTCAGAGATCTTCATGTCCTGATGTAATTGCAACCATCTTGGAAAGAATACTTCAGATAGAAAGAATCTTACACTTAGATGAGGTAAACTGAGATTCTCTCTAAACTACATGTTTTCCATATTAGATACATATTAGGAAGCAGTTAAGTTGGAGTTTATGTTATCTACCTTGTTGCCCAGCGGGCAGACGATGGCCAAGCAATTTTGCAGGTTGGTCTCCGCATGCTTTCATCTTTAGTATCTTGAAGCTGTTAGTTTCTATGTGTTTTGCTTGTTTAGTCACTGTTATAAGAGTGGCACAAAAACACACAGCATTCCTTGAAGCGTAATACATGAAGAAGCAACTAATGATTGAGAAATGGGTGTTCCACTTTGATGCAGGTAGAGCTATATTTTGGCGAGGTCAACAACTGTTCATCACTTGAATATTGGAACCCCAGGAATGAGGTGGAAGCTCTCAATTCGTTACTTTCACTCAGTAACAGCTCCTTCTCTAGTGAAAAACAGAAGGAAATGAATGTCTTGCAAACCTTGCAACATGAAGTTTTTGAAAGGATCCAGGAATTCACGGACAAGAACAAAGTGGAGAGTAGAATTGATAAAAGCTGCAGTTGTGATGAAGAAAAGTGTTTAGTAAAATGGGGGAGAGCAATGGTGTAAAAACAAGTTTGGAGATAGCATGTAAGTTCCAAGCTTAGGATAAGACTACACATGCTAACAAACAATGCATATAAGAGGTTTTTTTTTCCCTTGGGATGTCTCCCATTTGTATGGTTCAAAGTTCGAATTGACACCGAAAGAAGAGGTAAAGAGATGATTTATGTTTAGAAGAGAAAAAGAAATGCTCCTGAACATACTGCATTTGTCCTACTTTATGTTTTTATTTAGGTGTTGAAGGAGCTGGAAGAGGAGCCATAGCAACAAGAGATCTTAAAGTTGAAGACGCTGCTTTAGAGATTCCTGTGTCTATTATCATTTCTGAGGAGCATGTGCACAAATCTGACATGGTATGTTTCATCATTTGTGAACATAAATAAATACTTCAATTTGTAAGGAGTATTAGTTTCACTGATGTTTACTGATAATGGGAACGTTTGTAAAGAACTAGAATAAATCTTCATAATAGACACATCTGAAGCTGCCGATGTATATAATCTGATGCAAATAATTGCATGTTATCTAAACTGCCAATTCTTATTGATAATAAAGTTACGTGAAGGTAAATGATAGAACATGTGTGTGTGCACGTGTTAAAGAAAACAAGAACCTGTAAGAAACCCACAGGAGAATTTGTTCAGTGATTCAACCTTAGCAAATGCAGAATGTTAAGATAAGATATGAACGTTTTACCTTGTGTGTGATTGCTTGACCAATTAGCTGAAAAATTCAGTTGTCTTGCATAAGAGCGCTCGTGCTACATGCTTAACAAAAAATGGTCAACAATAGAAGTCATGGATGTATCCCTTGGTGATGTATCCCAATATGAGTTTTGTCATGCCTGCTCTCCCATATTCTATTTGAAATGTAAACTCTCTCCTTGAAAGGGATATAGAACTGTTGAATTTGGGCTAACCTAAAATCTTAAATATCATCACGATGCTCTGTAGTAAGGTTTACTATTTAGTTTGCTTGCAGTATCCTATATTGGAAAAGATTGACGGCATTACCTCTGAGACCATGTTGTTACTATGGAGCATGAAGGAGAGGCACAACTGTAACTCAAAATTCAAGATTTACTTTGACACTCTACCAGAGGAATTTAAGACAGGTATTCCCTTTTTCTCTGCTGCACTTTGTCATTGATCCTTAGTTTCTTACAAAATTGTATATGGTTATTTTCTGGAAGCAATTAAGTTGAGGCAAGATATTAATTTATAGTTATTGCTTTGAGATGCATTTGTCCCGCTCTGGTTAATGTTAAAGTTTTGACGTATGTAACAATCTTATAATTCAAGGGTTTTTTTTTTTTTTTGGAAATTGAAACTTTGTTGATGACAAGTTCATGGCACTCTTATCCCTTGAGCATTTTGGAACTGAAGCTGATTTGTTGATGTTTAAGAATTAATTTCATCTTCAATTAAGTGTATAATATGATGGGGGAAAACTGTCATGTCTAAATATACCAAGGCTGTTGTCTAGCGCAATAGTAAAAGTCCTTGAAGTTGCAAGCTTGCAACCATGAAAATGTAATTTTGATGCCTGAGAATAGCGATCTGAAGCAAAACAGTTGAAGAGTAACACTGTCTCCAGAGTTCTCATCCAAGGATCCCACTCTTCCAGGAGCAAGTATAACTAAGCCTTTTTCTTATATTCTAAAAGTTATTCTGTTTCTTTCACTTCAGTTCCTCCTCTCCTTTTTGAATATCAACAGGGCTGAGCTTTGGAGTTGATGCAATCATGGCTTTGGATGGAACCTTGCTTTTAGAGGAGATAATGCAAGCAAAAGAGGTTATATGGCATGCAATACACTGTTTTTATCTGTGTTCAAACTGGCATTTGTGCTAGTTTGCTAATCTCTGATGCATCAAATGTCACTGCCTATTCTGTTAAGGAATGAAACCTTTAAGAAATAAGAAAGAAGTTGCCTTTTTCCATTTTTTGGAGTTTGAAGGATCTCCATTCGCCAAATCATTGAATTGCTATATGAATAGGGGATAACTGCAGTATATCAGTAGCAGGATGTGCCTTGCACTCATCCCAAGACTTTAATTATGGCATCTCAAAATTTTCAAAAGGTTTTAGGTTTTGCTTTTATATAGATGGAGGTGGGAAAATATTGTGTTATTTAAATTTATGTTTTCATTTGTTTATGGAAATAAAATTTCTGACCTTTTCCGTAAGGATTTCATGAAGGTAACTTCTGTTCCCAGTGGTTTTACATGTGCTTCAGTATATGTTTTGGAATTTAAGAAATAACACCTCTTAATCAGATGTATTTGTTTCTTTCAATTTTCACAGCACTTGCGTTTTCAATATGATGAGTTGGTTCCTGCACTGTGTAATAATTATCCCGATGTATTTCCGCTAGAGCTCTACACATGGGAGCTGTTCTTATGGGCTTGTGAACTCTGGTACTCTAATAGCATGAAAGTTATGTTTGTTGATGGAAAACTGAGGACTTGCTTGATTCCTATTGCAGGCTTTCTCAACCATTCGGTATGCCATTCTTCCTAGTTTCACCACTTTTTTTTGTCTGACTGTATATTTTTATATCTATATAGTTAAGATTGAACTTAAGGCTCCCAAAGGTAATGGAATTTGCTACCGAATAACATGCCTGGGCTGGAGCCACTCCTATATATTCTGCCACCATTATGCTAGCTCTCCTTGTTAAGTTTTTTAACTCGAAAATTGATACCGTGACTTGATTAATTTCTGCTAGAATATACTTTTGTTGAATTCTCCAATTTTTACTGCCCCCAAAACTAATAGCTCAGTAGTTATGATCATTTTCTCTTGTTTTGGGCTGCTGGGGTTAATTACATGGTTGTTCACATGCAAAGTTAGGTGAGCCCCTAAGATATGATTTATATGACTCTCTAACACTTTCTTATATACTTTACACCACTTTGGAGAAGTATGCTTCTTGTTCATGTTCTGACTGCTTTCTTGGCAGCTCTTACCCACACATTGTTCACTATGGTAAAGTAGATTCTACAACAAATACACTGAAATTCCCACTCTCAAGGCCTTGCCGTGCTGGAGAGCAATGCTGTCTTAGCTATGGGAACTTATCTAGTTCCCATCTAATTACATTCTATGGTTTTGTGCCTCAAGGAGACAATCCGTATGATGTAATTCCATTGGGTAATCTTCTTTGCTTCCCCCAACCCCACAAAAAAAATAATAATTAAAAAAAAAAGCAAAAAAGAAAAGAAAAAGGAAAAAACTTAACAAAACTTAGGAATTCGTGGTTCTATCATTCAGGGTTATCATTTCCTTTTATGAATTTAGAGACACTACTCACTCACAAACATGTGCAGATATTGATGTTGGTGACACTGATTGTATTGAGGATTGCCCAACGTCGAGCTGGACTTCTCACATGGTGAGGGGGACTTGGATCTCAAACAACCATAATATATTCTATTATGGCTTGCCATCTCCATTACTAGATTATCTACGCAGTGCTCGGAGTCATGCGCCACACATCAAGACCATTGTAATTTTCCTTCTGTGTAGTTCATGTTTTATGTATTCATTTGTGCATATTTCCTAAATTGGCTTAACTAATCCTAATCTAATGCTATAACCTAATACTAATAGAATAGAAAATAATAGAATCTCGACTTTGATTTTCAATATACTTGTAAAATTAGGATATATCAAACTTGGAGAATGAAATAGAAGTTCTCGAAGACCTCCAGTCAACCTTCAGTAGCATGATGGAAAATCTTGGTGACACAGATCTTGTTGACAGGTAAAGAATTCTCTATAGTCAGCATTCAGATTAGAACATGTCTTTCAGGAAGCAAACTATACATGTTCAAAATTGTAATGGAAGGTTCTACGTCATCATTACAGTGATAATGCTAGCTGGGATGTGAAGCTGGCATTGGAGTTCAAAGATCTACAAAGAAGGATCGTCTCGTCAATTTTAACATCATGTGCTGCAGGTCTAAACTTGGTGCAAGGTGAATTGTCTAAGCTTAGATGAGCTGGCTTGAAAGCATTATGTGTCTTCTTCAATCCTTGGATGTGGACTCCCCAACTTAGAAGTCATGACAAAAATTAGCGTAGGTGGAGCATACTGATCATGACGTCTAAATATCATAGCACAACATCAATGGCTTTCTTTTGTCTCAACCCTTGACAATTATTATTAATTTTTTTTTTTGTTTATTTATTTATTTAATGGGGCATGAAGCACAGAATCTGATTTTGGTTGTGACATATTATTCTCAATGCTATTCCTGTTCTTTTTTTCTGAACACCATTGATAGTGCACCTAACCTTTTGTATCGTTTGTAATCTTGGCAAGGGAAGGCACAAATGAGTGGTCTTAAGGAAGGCATGCCTTTTTTTAAATTTTTTGGCATTCAGATGTGGGCAGGATCAAAATAATTATAAATGAAGAAAAGCTAATTTATGTTGGAGATTTGATACGGATGCCCAAATTTGACTTGACAAACAACTGGCTTTAGTGCACCAAATCATCATTCATCTTTTTTGTTTCTTCTCCAGATTTGTAGAATTTGACTAGAAATTTCTAGTATGTCATGAGAGAATATTCATTGTTAATTAATCAATTGGTGTGTGATTTTGGAGTTGTCTACGTAACAAGATAAAACTGAACCACCAAAAACATGTGGCCTATGGAGAAAGAAAATACTAACGAATCAAATCACCGAGAACCAGCTTTAGGACGTTTGGTCATTTGTTTTTTTTTCTTAATTATTTTTTGATCATTTGGTCCTTTGCTATTGAACATGGATGATAATTTACCTCATCTCAGTCTCGTTTGGAACGAAAATGATACGCAAAATTTTATCTTGAACAAGACACGGGACGAGAATAGGATAATTTTTTGAGACGGGACGGGGATGGCTATCCCTGCCCCTATCCCATCATTTTGCCTTTATAAACGATAATTCGACGATGTCTCTCCTCGCACTTTTCGTTTGAGACGGAGATAATATTCAAAATTTTACTTTAAACAAGACATAAGACGAAAATGGGGTGGCTTTTGTATGTGCTTTGAGAATTAGGTGTTTGGTATGGCCAAAGCTTTCCTACAAATCATGAAAATAAACTCAACAGCCGCATTGACTGTAAATTTATTCAATTTTTGACAATTTTTATTTCATTCTATTCATTATTTTTCTTATGAATAGATAAGTCCCACATAAATAATATATTTAAGTTTTATAATTAACATATTCTTAACGTGGTTTGAAAACACTAGATAAATAAGGAGGTTAAATAAAACTCATCCAGCATAAACGAATAAAAGAATTTTTCTCACCTGAAAAAGATCAAAAAAAGGAAAACCCCTGCCGCCTAAAATCTTGTCTATCGTGAAGTTAGGTTTGTGCCGACAAATCCAGTAAGGGAACAAGAGCTGAAACAAACTACGATTGCCAGCTGCCAACAAATGGGCCTCTGCTCAATTTTTTATGACAAAATATTTACTCTTCACCGGAATTAAAAAAAAAAAAAAAGAAATTTAAATTCAAACAGTGTAGGTTTTGACAAGGACAAGAGTAGCTTGCTGGCTGCTTGCTTTTTGCTGGTTCATCCAACCATGTATAAAAAAAAAGAGAGGTAGTTAAAGTGGTAGTTAGTGAGGCTATGACGAGGCTGTGACCAGAACGTTCTTACCCTGTTTTTTTTTTTAATTTCTTTCCTCATTAATCTATTACTTCTTCATTAACCTTAATTATGCATTGCAATCATAAACTACAAAGTGATAATCAGTCCATAAATAAACATCAATTTATAAGTTAGATATATTTGATTTTTATGATCAATATTTTTAAAAATTTATTATCAAAATATTTAAAATAGTATGTCAATAAATGTTCTTTAACCATATTTAAAGGAATAAATTAGTCTCAAAATTCTTAAAAACTGGTTCAAGAAAACTTTTATTACTCAATTAAAAAAAATTTTTTGCAGTCAGAAGTAATATAATAAATGTTTATAGCCCGTTAAATTAGGATTTTATTTATTTATTTATTGAATATTTATTTTGACACAATAGCACCCGTGACACTTTTTTAATTTGTCTAAAGTAGAAATTATATCCAAAAGAAAAAAAAATTAAAGAGAGAATACTATCATGGGGATGCTTGGATAGGACCCACATGAGCACGTGTAGGTTGGCCTATGACAAAGAATGCACTGGCTTTTGGCTAATGGGCAGCCCACCACCGCCTACCTCCTTCTTGCGCTTTCCATGACCGCCGTTCTTCGATTTCTTTAAATTTTCTTTTGTTTTATTACTGCGAAAACTGAAAATCCCTTGTGTACCGTCATACAGCATCTTTATACAGAGCTAGCCAATGATAAATATAGATCTGAATAACAAATTTAAATAACTGAAATTAGATAACGCTAGAGATATTTAATTTTTTATTAAATTATAGGGTAACATGTAATTGTTAATTCATTGATCATTATATTGCGATAAAATTTATATAACAAATTTCATATTATTTAGTAAAAAATTTGAATACCTGTTTATTAAAATTTGATTTAAATATCCAAATTCATAGAAAGGTTAATGTAATATCATTTAATATATATATATAATTTTATTTTTTCAAAATAAATAAAATTAATGCGTTTAAAAACTTTTTAAAAAAAGTATAAAGAACGTATTACTATCTGTTATCCAAAAAGAAAAAAGAAAAAAAAACAGCAGTATTATCTGAATAGCATGAAACCGTAAACAGAAGATAGAACCACTTACATTTACTACTTATATATTTTTTTCATTCTTTTAATAGGAACGAGGAAAATGAGAGAAATAATAAAATAATAGAACAATAATTTATAAAAAGCAGATCACGCCCTGAAGAAATGGAGACATATGTATGTTTTTTTTTTTTAATAAAAATTTTAAAAAGGGACAAAGAGAAGAATTTGCTTAAACGTCTCTTTCTTTCTTTCATCTGCTCTCGTTTCTTTTTCATTCTCTGTTTGCTTTCTCTCTCTTTCATTCTTTGCTTCTTCTTAGCACAGAAGAGAGAAGAGAGAGAGGGGAAGTGAAAAGAAAGCATATCCGTCCAAGCAAAGCAGAAAAGAAAAACATTTTCTTTTTAATTTCTGGGTTTTTCTGCTTGTGCTCGAACGGATTTGGAATTTCGTTCTTTTTGTTGTTGAATTTGAAGTGAAGAAGATGATGGTAGTGAACAGTTTCGATCTATGGCAAAAAGATGCTTTCTTTTCTGCTGCAGAGGAGGTTCAGGAATCTGCTGATGTGTACGTTATCATTTCTCTGCAATTCATGCTTTACATTCTGTATGCAGTTTGGTGCAAGAATTTGGCTGATGGGTTTGTTTGATTTCTCCATTTTATGTGGTTTGGTTGTGACTATGGATTGTTTTTTGAACTGGGTTTTGCATGCTGCATACTTATATACGTTTTGCTTCTGAGGTTGTCAGGATGTGTATTTATTGCTTTATTTTTAATGTTTTGTCTTGTGAATTTTGGGTTTTTTTTTTTTTTTTTTTTGTGCAATTTCTGCTTAGTTAATTAATGGAATGTCTTGTGATGACATGTTCGTTTGGCACAAAATTTGCGGATGTGTGCATTAGTTCTTTGCTTCTCTGGTCTTAGTGATGTGAAGTGAGATTGAAATGTGAGGTTTGTGATGTTTGTTTTATAGTGCATGACTATATCTGCCTATCTTTGACATAGTTGGTCTTCAAGGGTCGTGAAGTCTACTTTCTGTAATTTTGGAAAGTTTTTCGAAATTTTTACAAGCAGAAAGTTATTCTTGTGCTACAAACGTGATAATGATATGGATTTTCTGTTGAAGGCAGGGAGCTCTGTATTCTAGGAAATCAACAAGTTATTATTGTGCTGCAAACTTGATAATGATTAGAATGCTTTTAAGTGCTTAGAATTTTAGTGGATTAAAATTGAAGTTGTTATTGGTTGTTTTTGTTTTTGGCAGAATGGAATCAGCATACAGAATGTGGATAAGAGAGAAGAGAGAGGGGTCAAAAGCAGAGGATTTGGATGAACTCTCCAGAGAGCTCCAGAGATCTTTAGGTACTGCCAAATGGCAGGTATATTTCGTTTCTTGAATCCTTAAATTTAGTACATGCCTCTCTTAATTAATTTCTTTTAACTGCTTGTCAGTATGTTAATTTTACTTATATTGTCTGTTAGTGATCTTCATGTGATTGGTCTCTAAGAGACTTCAGGTGAAGGAAATACTATTTTCAATTCTGTTTTCTATCATTTACATTTCTGACAATTGAAAAGCTACCCTCAAGTCATCCAACTTTGAATCCCTTACTTAGAAGGATATGTATTCTTTTTCCTAAGTACTATGTATCAAAATACTTTTTTCCCTTTTACTGCACACGAGCCAAGCAAACTGAGCACAAAAGAAATCGTTATGAGTTTTGCTTTCAATTCTTATAGTTGGGCTAATTGCTTTTTTGCAAATAGCTCTCTTTTCTTTTGTTTCTCCTTTTTCTCTGTATCATTGATCTTTGGACTCTGAAACAGTTGGAGGAGTTTGAGAGGGCTGTTCGGTTGAGCCATGGACATCGTTCTGATGATATCACAGCATCTAGACATAAACAATTTGTCGCTGCTATTGAAAGTCAAATATCTCGTGTTGAAGCAGCACTAAGGGAAGCTTTTGGAGCGGAAGGAAAGCAAGCTCTTCGATGGGTGAATCTGGATAAAGAAGAATGTGATGATTTAGCCATGTTTCTATCTGGAACTATCCAAACTCCACAGATTGTGAAAGATGATTGCACCACACTCAAATCTCCCACAAAAGGTTCTCTTGGCGGGAACCATCACAAGAGAAAAAAATTGGACCATAACTCAGGTGCTACCTGTAGTAGAGGTACTTCTGATGAAAATGAATTCATTACTGATAATAAAAATGGAGAATTTGTTATAGATATAGAAGAGAGGGAAAATCTTGGAACGAGGGATGATATAATTTGTCAAGTTGATAAAACAACTGGCTCAAGGAGAACATGGAGTCCACCAAATTTTGATGCTTTGAAAATTGTGATTGCTCGTGATGACAAACAAAGGGACAAAGTGATGTCAAGTGTTGAGGCCACTCCTAAAGAAAAAGGGCACAAACCTTTCTTTTGGAAGCAAAGGTGTGGAGAACATTCTTGGGCAAAGGGATCAATTACTTCGTTCAATCAGGTAAGGTATTTATGTGCTTATGAGATGTGAAAATGGATTATTTATCGGTCTGAAATAAAGATATCCGTTTTGAATTATAATAGTGAAAAAAAGGCGAGGATTGTTTCTCATATTACTGTCAACATAAATAGATCTATTTCTGTACAATTGTCAAGATCTGTAGTTTTTTATGGTCGCAAATCAGTATGTTTTGGTAGATTCCCAGGAGACCTTATAAAATTTTAACCTTCTGCAGCTCTTTGGTCAGGCTGGTGGTCTCCAAAGGCAATTGCAAACTCCACTGCACCTGCAGTTCAGCTGTTCCGTCCAACTTACTCTTGCTTTAATGCTCAGTATTTTCTTAATTGGTAAATTCTTGATTCTTTTGAACTTCATGCATTCCATTGTTGAAAATGATCGCCAACCACCATTCTCTCTTTTCTCCTCTTATGCTATCTGGTCAAAACACAAAGTCAGCAGTTGGTACTGGAGATGATACTTAATTGAGCCAACTGATCAACATATTAGAATCATTTTGTATTGTGGTCACAGTTGAACAAGTATGTACTTCAGGAAGCTAAGTAGTAAAAGACAATTTGCTGGCTTAATGATGTCATATTGAACGAAGCAGATATTCCATTTTTTACTTTGGCCTTATCAGAAGATGTGGTTCCATTAATTTAAAGTTGTTAACTCCTTGACCTACATTTGTTGGCTAGGTTGTTTGGTTATTTAGCATATATGAAAGCAATTTCTGCACGGAACTTTAGGCCATTAGATTGACAAATGCTTACGGACACTACTATAATGATACCATATGTCTTAAATTAATCAAGCAATTACCAACTACCTCATGTCATCATGTCATGGGAGAATTCCTTTACTTGTTTGGATTACCTTGTTGAAAATGCATTTCAAGTTATGAGGTTAAGCTTGGGAAGTCCTTGCTATGAAATATGATATCCAACATCTAAGATATACCCTTTTAACATCTCATCAGAATGTGTGTATTTTTTCTATAAAATATCTTAACCAGCATTTCAAATCCATATTTTTTGAAGCTCATCTTCTGTCAGATGTGCATTCAACCTTTGTATATATCAGGAGCTTTTTCTCTGTAATTTGCTAGCTGATTTGTGCTTTTTACATAATTTTATCTCAATAAAAAACCTAGTTTGGAAGTATTAACTTAGCATTGAAATACTGGTTATTATCATTTTGACATTTCCTACATTACATGTGTATGTGGACGAGATTTTGGTCTAAGGGAATATTTGTTTTTGCTCAATGGATAATTTTAAATAACTGGGTTTCTTAAGGCCTCTAGGTACAGGACATGAAGTAAAATTGAAAAAGGTGAAATGCTACCATCATAGCCATCTCTGTTGTTAAAAAAACAAAAAGGAAAGGAGACCGTCATAGCCACATCTGCAATTTGGACATGGAGGTGTCAAAAAACCACCCTGTGATTGATATGGATCTGTTGTCCCATCCTTATTTTGTACTTGTGGTTTAGTCTTCAATTTGTGATAGATTGGAAATTTTCTGAGCCTGTTTTTTTATTTTTTACGATGGAGAGAGCTTTTGCTTTTCATATTCTTATGTTGTTTAATTGCCAAAGCTTGAAATCCTCGTTAAACATTACACTGATTAAGGTTATTAATTTTCTTCTCTGTGCAGTTCCTTTTCTGGTTTATTCAGCTTGAGAAGATGTGGCATTGCGCTGCTCTTTATCGAGGTGTAAGGTAATTCTATTGCCTAGAAATTTATTTCTTGTGTTATAGTAATGGCCTATGAACTATATTATTATGAAATGTATTATAAAAATATAAAACTGAGGTAATATGCAAGTTACTTGTTAATGAGTGATACAAATATCTCTCATTGCCAACTCTGAGAAAAAAAAAACTGATTACAACTTACCAAGAACACTGACATTGTGGCTTTGAGTGTTTACTTGTAGTTCTTATTTTGGAACTGAAACAATTGTTACAATGGATTTTAGTCCTTCCTTTGCAGTGACTCACGTGACTCACCAATTTGGTCATCTCGACCCAGATTCCACTCTGAAACTTATGATGGTCTTTTGCATGAAAAAAACCCGACCCTCGTGTTTTGGCACTCAATTTCATGCTTTAGTAGACTTCTATGAACCCATATTCAGCAAAGAGCAAGAATGTATAACTGTTGACATTGCTTTTACACAGAAGTCTTATGATATAGGGGGCATATTGTAATTCTTGAACAGTTGTACCCCTAGTACTTGAAATTTTCACAGCTACTATTTTCTCGCCACTTGGAATTGATATAGCATAAAATCTATCCTCTTTCCAAATATATCCTTGTCAATTCATGCTTAAGAAAGCCATTTCTATAGGAAAACTGAAGTTTCATATTGAGGAATAGTAGAGCAATTGATAGAGACCACATGGGAAAGGGTTGGAAGCCCCATTTTGCTTTTAGACATGCATTATTTATGTGGCTTGGGGCCAAAAATGTTCAGTTTTGTGGGCTGCTGCAATGGCAAGTCATTTTTCTTACAGATGCTTACGAATTTGGAACATGAATGACTTTCCAACATCAGAGCTATTTATGAATCCTGACAATGATAGTGTGTAAATTCTGTCACGTTTATTTAAAACTGTTAGTGGGGCTTCCCAGTCAACTCCATCAATTCCATTGTTCTCTCTAACTTACATATATATATATATATATATATATATATATTGCCTGCCTTGCCTAGTCTAAAGTCCAATTGAAGTGCAGCGTTGTGTCCTTAGAGTTTGTCCTGCCAAAATGGGGATCTTAGAGGGAGCATGGAGAGAGTAAGTGTGGATATTTTCTCAAAATACTTTGTAATGGTATTTGATATAGTTAGTGAATGCGAATCTTGTGCAGTTGAGATGACGAGATATTAATTAGTTTAATAGTCAGATGTTAAAAGAGACTCAAACCTCATATTTCAGTATTTTGTTTTCTTCCTATTGTTGAATTTGATGGCATAACATCAAGATTTCAATTAAATTCACATCTAACGGAGTTTTGTCTTCATTCAATGGTTATAACACATTGATCATCCCTGTTTTTATGAATTGCAAAATTGAAAGGGTCCATGTTTTGTGTGCAGGTACTGAGTTTCTTTCTGAAGTGTAGAAAGCAAGCACTAAGGATGAAGATATCAGTTGTCAATATCTTCCCTGCAGTTTTTCAAATTCGGGGCCAGGGTGATCTACCTCTGTGAAACAAAAGGAGTAGACGTAGCAGCAGGAGTGGAGTGTTATTTTAGATTACATAGCCACAGAAAATGTACATGTATTCATGTAGTCTCAAATGTGATCCAAAGAATATGTGGTAGTTAACACAAATCCAAAATTATATGTATACTGAAAATCTACGACGGCAGGATTGCCAATCATGAGATGTTTGGGGACCAATTGCAGTACTCTTATAATGTAGCAATCATAACCATCTAACAGTGTAAAAATGTGCTGTGCTTTTTATCTGCTTGCAGTAAGACTAAATATCCCCAATAATCTGTGTTGAAAACCACCACTCTACGCTATAGGCTGAAGTGTAGATCATATGTAGTGAACTTCAGCAATAACTTGATGTATCAGGTCCAGTGCAGTCTTTATGAGGGATTGTAGTCTAGCTCTAAAGCAATGCAAGATGTAGGACTGAAGCAGCAATGGCGAGCTATGATAATTCTAGTCTCCACCTCTATCATTTTCGTGCAAATTCATAATAAGCCAAAACAAGAAACACTTTTCATGTTTATGCTCTCAAGCTTTGTGCTCCAATATCAATTGAAGTTTATTCTGAGGGGCGCATTATGCTAGAGCTGCTTCTAAAATTTTCATTTTATTGTAACGTGTTTGCATAACTTTCAGATAGTTTATTTATATACACATTTATTTGCAACCAAAAACATGTATAGCGCCCGTGGCCTAATGGATAAGGCGTCTGACTTCTAATCAGGCGACTGTGGGTTCGAGTCCCACCGGGCGTGATCTAAACTTTTTGCTTTTAATCTTTAGAAAGCCCACAGCCACAGAATAGAGAAGGACACCTGGACCCAGACCAAAGTAATCGTGTATTCAAATTCTGATGCATTTTGGTCAGATAATCTCTCTCTTTTTTCGTTTTTTCCTCCGTAATTGGAAAGAAGTCAGACATTTGGTATTCACTAGCAAATGGGTCATGTAGCTGGCATTTACATTTAGAGAAGCTACAACCATTTAGTCAACTTGAAACCAGTAGTTAACAGAAGTCAAGGCAAGGAGAGGTGGAAGCTTATATGCTATGAATCAGAGAACTAAATGTGTTTTCTGAGTAGAACTCCTAAAATGCGTTGTCCTTACTGTCACAAATGTATTTTATTTTCTCAGTGAACTTCACCAAATAATACATCCACCAACACTCTCACTACTCTCTCTTCTTCATGCATACAAAACATAAGATAAAGCAGGTCCGCAGACACTCCTACTCTCCTCTTACATACAACACCAATTTATTTGTTCAGATATGACTGCATTTGTACTACACAATATAGAGTCAAATTTACATACAACACCAATTCTTCTTTAAATTTATAGTCCTTTCTATTCTTAATGTAAATCAGGGCAGGCACCAAAGGGACATGAGTCTGCCCCCTAATCTGAAAGTATGGAAAATATTTGGTTGTTAAGTATATATAGTTCTTTTGCATGCCAGAAGTGCAGCCTTCATAAAAGTGCTGGTTTTGTTCAAGATAGACAAAAAAGCAAGAGAAAACACTTCAAAAGATTGATCACCGTGTTAAAGCATAGCTTCACCAATTCACAAAATCTAAACTATAATGAAATAATATGAAGCAACCAATACACCATAAGAATAGAAATAACATTTGTAAATAAACACAGGTTTAGAAATGAAATGGATGAAAATTTCTCTTCTATGCCAAAGCAAAGCCTCCATGAAAATAAGTGAAGACAAGCTCAAATTGAAGGGGAAAAAAAGAAACTTATGAAACTGGCTATTTATCTGTTAACTCCAAGAACCCCTTCTCTCCTAATCACAAACTCACAAGACAAACCAGGCAAATGTGGCGCAAAAACAACATGAAGCCGTCTCCTAGTTTCCCTAGACACAGAACCACTCTCACCACCACCCACCAAACCACTCTCATATTCATCTTTGGACAAGAACAACCTCGAATTAACACAATTAGCCCATGACAATCCCAATGCTGGACAAACCCTCCGTCCAGACGAATAAAAACTACCCAAATTCCCAATCCTCACCTCATTTACTCCACATCCAGACTCCACAAAATCCATCACTTGATTAATCACCAGCACTGCCAAATTAAACCTCTTTGCTAACTCCTTTAACTTCCCGGATATCTTAAAAAACAACGATGACCTCCTTATAAGATCACTCGCTGTATTCTCAAACTCAGACCTAAACAATGCAGCAATAGAATCGATCACAATCACCCTAACAGGCAACCGAGGTTTTGAGTTTTCAAGAAATGATTCTATTTGCGGCATTATATCAAGCAGTTGGTCTGCGTTGTTTACACTTTGCAGAAATACACTATCGCAAGGATTATAATCGTCGACGAATATTTGTGGGTATTGAGATTGAAGAGCACTGGAGAGTTGGTGAAGGCGGCGAGTGGGGAAAGGGAATTCAGTGTAGAGGTAAAGTGAGGAAGCAGAGAGGCCGCCAAGGAAGGGTGGGAGTTGGGCTCGGAGGGAGAGTTGTAGGCAAAGTTGGGTCTTGCCTGAACCACTTTCGGCGACGATTTCAGTTATGGAGTTGCAAGGGATGCCTCCGCCTATACAGCAGTCTAGGATGGGGCATCCCAGAGAGCATTTTTCTACTGGGAGAAGCTTTTGTGGTGTCATGAATGCGGGATGAAGATTGCTGTGAGTTGATGGACCAGATTGAATTTGGGACATGGCGCCAAATTAGCGTAATTTGGGGTTTGAATTTCCTTTTCTTAATTAGAAGTAGTGGGCATTTAGGGAGACGGAAGCTTCGCCGTCGGTTTCTGTACTCTTTTATTTTATTTTATATTTTCTAATTTCAATTTTTCCTATTAATTGGGCATTTGGCGGTTTAAATATTGAATGGAGCTAAGCCAATAAATAATTTTTAATTTCCTCAATAAATTGTAGCAATCCTGTATCATAAAAAGTGTCTTAACCCAAATTTTGGGTTATACTTTTTTTCCTTAATTTTGTTTTCTATTCATTTTTAGTTGATTCTTATTTTTTAGTTGTTATTTTGGTTTATTCTTTCATTTCATCCTTTATTTATTTTTAGCTTTTCTATTTTATTTTTATTCATTTTTTTTAGTAGTCACTATTAAAAGATTAAAAAAAAGAATTGAAAAAAGAAAATCAAAGCAAAAATAAAACAAAACAAAAAATGAAAAAAAATACATAAATTGCAAAAAAAATTGAGCGATAAATCTGATCAAAGGCATAATTGCATTAAATTAATTCAAAATTGGAAACTAATAGGAAACAAATTGAATAAAAAATCAAAATGAATTAAAGGTATAATTGAAAGGAGGTTAAGGATACAATTGAAAAATTCATAAAGTGGGAGGATTGTTTCGCACTTTTACAATACAAACAGTGAACGTACATTCACTGTTTTCTTCAACCGATGCCTGCAAACGAAAACCAGAAATGATTTTCGATTTATCTTGGTTTTCTAACAAAATGAAATCTGTTTAGAGGAGAGGAGCGTTAGAGAATAAAAGAAAGGAGACATGATTTGTTTTGGAGGAAAAACGATTTTGGGAGAAAAAACAGAATTGGTTGAGAATTGGGTATAAATACGATGTTTAGATATTAGAGAAAGTGAATTTCGGGGAGTGAGAAAAGGAGAAATCGAGAGCAAAGAGTGAAAAATCGAGAGATTTGGTCTTCTGGGTTTGTTGAAGTTCTGGGTTTCTTGTTCTTCATTTCTGTGTTTCGCTTTGAATTTCTGAGTTGTCCTTTGAATACCTGGGTCTCTGTTCTTCGTTTTTGGGTTTGTTTTGTTGTTATAGATCTCAAGAATACCAAAGAAGCATTCCCTTCCAGTCTTGGTGATCTGTAAGCAAAGGAAAATCACAGCACCAACACAACAGTCAACTCGTGAGTCTCAATTGATTCCAATCCACCCTGCTATTGCCATTGTATCTGGGTTCCTGCAAGCAGAGGTTATACAACAGTCTCAACACATCCAAAGACCTCACTTAATCCTCATATTCATTCAGAACCAACAAGCATTACTTGTCCCTTTTTTTATGTTTCAGTTATGCTAATTCATTCTCAAGTTTAATTCATGAGCTTTCATAGCAACAAATAAAATAGTTTGAGACAATAGTCGGGTGAAGAGGAAATGTAGGAGTTTCTGATTGTGGGTTATCGGAAATCAGATTCAACAAGAATTGATGCTCCAATTGATGAATAAAACGAACCGGAGGAGTCGGGAGTTTAGGATCAAGTGATTTTGTTTTGTTTAGTCTATTCTTAGGCACGGGAGAAGAAAGACGAGTGAGAGATGATGATTTTGGAAGATTTAGACCAAGTTGTTAAGCAATGAGGCCTTCGGCCTCGCCCGAAAAAAGATAAAGAAAAGAAAATGGTGTAGCCCAGCGCCGCGCCGCGAACAATGCACACACACGCACACAAAACCGCCGGCTGCCCCGACCACCGAAAGTAAACTAAGACAAGCTGGGGTTAGCCCAACCAAGAAGAAAGTAAGAAAAACAAAAAAAGGAGAGAAGGAAAAAGAAACGCTTCCCCAATCCGGGCCTGGTCCAATGGGCCAGAAGCCCAGTATGCAAAGAGCCCAATCACTCCATTTTCAGCCTTTTGTCCTAGTGAACCATGTCTAATTTTATTTTTAATATATGTTTTTACTTTCACGCCTAGTTTAAATTTGATCTCTTTAAATTGATGGTTTGTTTGTTTATTCATTTAATTGAAATATCTAATTAGTTAGGTTTTATGTTAAGAATCAAAATAGATAATTAACTAGTAAACGAATTGTCGAGTCTCTTAATTTTTAAGGACTTATGATGATTTCTTATCAATAATCAATGATCAAAAAAAAAAAAAAAAATCAAAACAAATAAAAAATAATAAGTAAAAATAAAATAGAGATAAAAGAAAAGGAAAGGAAAAATATTAGGTAAGTGATTTTTTTTTTTAAGGAAATGCTAGGAAAAAAAATAGAAAATCCTAGAAAAAATTAACAAGGTTTCATATTTAATAGGGATCTGTTGCTAGCAAAAAAAAAAAATCACTTTAGCAATTAAGTTGTTCTTTGATATATCGGTTACGTCGAGACTTAAAGTGGATTCGATATTTGAGCCGACGTGTCTCCCGATGAAGTGGTCCGGCGATTAGTTCGGTACGATGTCACAAATAAAAATAAAAAACTTAATTTGACCTAGAAAATAAAAAAACTTAGAAATCGAATTAGAAATGATTTCCAAAAGCGTAACCAACTCCTTATCCTATAATCTCTAGAACAGTGTTCCTACAATACTAGATGACGACTCCCAAAATCAATAATAACTCGCATCCTCATAAATTATAAATAATTCAAAAATAAATAAATCAAAATTTTTTAGAGTTTTGTCGGATGTTGGGTAGTAACAAAAATGTTGGGTAGTAACAAAAATAATCCACACGGATTTGATTAGACATAAACCAATTATTATATGTTTCATGAATCAATCCACTAACCTTTTTTATTGTTGATAGTTTTGAATTAAATATTTATGAATATTGTTAAATTTTATTTTTTAAGTTTTGAATTAAATATTTATGAATATTGTTAAAATTTATTTTTTATTCTTATATTTCACATGGATAATAAATGTATTTTGAATTGGTTTTTATCTCCATTGGTTTGCTTACAATTAATTTCAAGACTAAACATACTCATTTGTTTTTATATAATACCCGATATCTTTCATTTGTCATTATGTTTTTAATTACAATTCACTTGTTTCTAAATGTATTTGCAATGTTTAAGCTGTCCTTTAAGCCTAATTTACCTACCAAATATATTTTTTTCATCGAAATATTCCTTATTGAGATGCAAATAAAATAAGATTCTAAAGACTTCAAAAAATAAAACATCTAGGTCATGTGACTTTAAGTGTTTTTGTTTTTTTTCACATTTTAATAAATGAGATTTTGATCAAAAAAAAATTTATGGTTAAAAAATTTGATCAGAATGACAGATTGAATATTTAAAAAAAAATTAAGAACATATGGGATGCAATTGGAAATATAAGAATAGATGGGAGACATTAGGTATTATATAATGACAAATTGGTATATTTACCCTAATTTCAATATGCCTTAACATTTTTAATTTTTTCTATTTCTTGATTATTATTTTTTTTGAAATGTTTTTAAAATTTTATTTTAGGGAATAAGTTATACATTACTATTAAAAACATGTGGCACACGACTAAATTTTATCTCGATGAAAAACCTTACTCCAACATAGCCTAACAAAAAGGATCCTTAAGCTCACAGCTCTAAAATTCATTCGAGGCCTATGGTTCATTAAGAGAAACCAGCCCATTAAAGCTACCTAATAAAACAACAAGCCCAAACAAGAGACACGTCACCAACTTTACACCTTCCTTTTGGAAGATTGTAATACCCGAATTTTTCCTATGCATTGTGTGTGTCTATTTTTCAAAGTATACGCATGCCATGCTTGTATTTATATTGTTGATTGTTCGACTTGCAAAATTAATGTTGTCTAAGTGTTGTGTGTATAAGTAAATTAATTGACCAAGTGAAGGACTTAGAAAAATATGGTTTAATTAAATATTCCCCATATGTACTAACCTAGGATTAAAACTTAATTAATGTCTTACACATGTATTAATCTAGGAAATAATTTCCTAATTAAGTTTTCCACCTAAATTTAAAATATCTAAGTGTAAAACACCCACCATAGGATATGTGTCCCACTAACATTTTGCCTCCCAAAATTTCGACCAAAGAGGGAAACAAAAGGAAGAAAATTTTTAAGGGGTTATTCATTTGAACTCTTTCATCCATCTTTGAGAGCTAAAACACCTAATAGAAAAGGAGAGCTGGAAAAAACAAAAGAGAACCTAAAATCTTCCAAAAGAAGTTAAAGTTATCGAGAGGAAGAGAGTTTGACCAAGAGGAAGAGATTTGGTCTAGAGGAAGAATAAAAAAGAGACAAAGGAATTTGAGGAATTTCAAGGTGATTTCTACTTTCATTAAACCTTAAGGTAAGTGTAACCTTAACTCGTCATAAGACATATGGTTTGTGTGTGTGTTGATTTGATGATTTGGGTGATATGCGTTCATGGGAAAGCTAGGGTTTTTATGTATGCAATTGAATGGCTTAGGTTCAATTGATATTTAGGTTATGAAATTGATAAATAATTAGCCATTGTGATGTTGTGGCATGTATTTAATGTTTGATTGAATATGTCTAACATTATGTTATATGATTAATTATTGGTTAAATATGTGAAAAGTTATGTTCATGAAAGACCTAAAGGTTCTAGGGTTTGGGTGAGGTATTAAATGATGATTTTATATTATGATGTTATTGGTAAGAATTTAATTGATGATTGACCATTGTATTAATGATAGATAAGTGATGAATTATTGCTTGAACAATTAAGATGATGATTAACTTAATGATACAAAGCCTAGAGGATTTAGGGAATGAATCATGTAATTAATTGATGATTGACCAATTAGGATGTCATAGTTTTATAATTAATTGATATTTGTGCAAATTAGGTATGTTTATTGTCGAGATTGATCACTTAATGACTATCATTTGTGTTATGAGAATTTACTTGTTGATGTATTCGACAAGGGTTCATTTTGTTGTATGCTTGTTGTGATTCAATTTTGGCATGTTGATTGAATGGTTTGAGGAG